CTGGACAATTCTACTTGGAAGGTCAGCTCTTAGAGAACTGGTGAGTGACTTGAGGGATTTTTAGGTTTTTTTTTTATAACATTTATTACAAAAAACAAAAACAGAAAAACCCAAAGTGGAGAGTTGTCTTCTTCTGTAGCTACTGAAATTTTCTAAGTCTGCCTCTGTTTGTACCACATCAGTTGCTCTTCTGTAAAATGCTCATGCTGTCGGTGGGGGTGCCTCCAGAGAGCTGCAGAGTCTACTGCTTAGGCCTCCAGTCTTTTGCTCTCTCTTCTCTGTTTGCCGTTAGCTTCCAAATCATAGAGACTGAATTCTAAAATGTTTTCAAGTATATGATCAGCGACAGGTAGCCATTCATGGTGGTCCTTCAGCTTCTTACCCTTTGAGGAATATTTTGATTTTAGGATCTTACATTATGCCTTCATCTGATAATTCTGCTTCTAGAATGAATCCTTAGAGAAGGACATCTTAGAAAATGTTTTGTGCTCAGAGTACTCTGGTATAGACAGCATTCTACTATATACCTGGGCATTGTGCATACTCTGCTTACTTCAGCCCACCAGAGGCTGAGGGGATAGTCTCAAATTAGGACCAGCTTAGATTACATAGTAAGACTGTCTCAAAAAAACAAAAGCCAAATAATTAGAATTGGGCAAATGTTTGAGTGGCTACCTTTTAAAAAAGGATGTACTTTATTTTATGTGCGTGTTTTGCTTGCATATATGTATTTATATAACATGCGTGTCTTGTGTCCAAGGGGGTCAGGAGATGGTGTTTGATACCTTGGAACTGGCGTTACAGACAATTGATGGTTGCCATGTGGTTATTGGCATCTGACCTTAGTCTTCTGCAACAGTATAAGTTCTTATAGCTATCTCTCCTGCCCCTTGAGTGGCTACTTTAATATAGTTGAATGGTATTTTTATTTGTAAGTTCATTACAAGAAAGTGATTTTACTTATTTGTTGTTTGTTAGTTTATTTTGATGAATGATTTCTTTGTGTAACAACCCTAGCTGTCCTGAAACTTGATTTGTAGAATGCTTTATTTTTATGTGCGTTGGTGTTTTGCCTTCATGTATGTCTGTATGAGGGTATCAGATTCCCTGAAACTGGAGTTACAAACAATTGTGAGCTGCCATGTGGGTGCTGGGAATTGAACCCAGGTTCTCTGGAAGAGCAGCGAATGCTTCTAACTGCTGAGCCGAAGCTCCAGTTCCAAGAAGTGATTTTAGCTGGACGGTGGTGGCGCACGCCTTTAATCCCAGCACTCGGGAGGCAGAGGCAGGCGGATCTCTGTGAGTTTGAGACCAGCTTGGTCTACAAGAGCTAGTTCCAGGACAGGCTCCAAAACCACAAAGAAACCCTGTCTCGAAAAACCAAAAAAAAAAAAGAATGACAAATATGATTTGTTATTTAGTAAAATATGCAATCATTAGAAAGCCCCTTTATAAAGATTTCCATAGATGATGCTACAGTATTAATAAAAAAGAAAAATTACAGATTTCTGTGTTTACAATACTTTAAATCAGTGATTCTCAACCTTTCTAATGCTGCTACCCTTTAGCACAGTTCTTCATGTTATGGTAACCCTATTTTTGTTGCTACATTATAACTAATTTTGCTACTGTTATGAATCGTATCCTAAATAGCTATGTTTTCCAGTGGTCTTAGGCAACCCCTATGAAAGGGTTGTTTGAACCCCAAAGGGATCGTGAACTATAGTTTGGGAACTGCTGCTTTAAGCTGTGGTAGAAACATTCCAAAGAGACACAAAGGAAAACACAATGTGTAGTGTGACCTTAAATCTGATTTAGGTTGCATTTGTGTAATTGCCTTGTTCTTTTGCAGAATCAGATTGAGGCAGAACTGAATAAATATTGGCAGCGATTATTAGAAGGGCTTTCTTACTACAAACCTCCCAGGTATGGCTGTTCTGTGTTTCTGGTGATGCTCATAAATGAAACTGCCCTGTGTACTTTTAAATTGCTAGGCTAGTGAATGCGCGAGAATGCTGTTTGGATATGAGTAGATGAGTCAGCACATTTTCCCTGTCTGTTGAAGGAATTCTGTTGATTCCTTCACAGTAATCATGTTGTCCTTTTCTTTCTTCTTTTTCATTCAAGACAGCATTTCTCTGTGTAGTCCTGGCTGTCCTGGGACTCACTCTGTATGTAGATCAGGCTGGCCTCAAACTCAGGAGCTTTGCCTGTCTCTGCCTCCTGAGTGCTGGGACTAAAGACATGCACCACCACTGCTCTCTTCAACGTGACCCTTTTTACTGCTTGTCTTATCCACTGTCCCCTGGAGAAAATGATATATTCACCCATAGAGCACTATGCCCCAGTATCAGCAAGCTCCCAGTTTCAGGGGATCTAATGCCCTCTTCTGGCCTTAGGTGGCAACAGATACACATGCAGGCAAAACACCCAGACATATAAATAAAGCAAAATAAAGGAAAAATTTTGAAAGAAGAGACAGAAATGACTTTATACAATAACATGGGATTTGAAATCTAGTAAAAAAAAAATTTTTTTTTTGGATACAGGGTCTCACTATTATGGCTGTCCTGAACATATATATAGATAAGACTGCCCTTGAATTTAAATGTATCTGCTTGACTCTGCCTCACAAGTGCTGGTATGAAAGGCATACACCACCACACCCAGCTAAACCTTTTATTTATTTATTTTTTTAAAAGTAAACTCTAGACTTTACTGAAATTTTTTTATTTGCATTCTGGGATTGAACTGACGAGCTTTTCCCATATACTCAACCAGTGGCCTACATCTTCCCCCCAAATGTCCACTCCTTGTTCTGTAATCCAGTCCAGGGCGATGTGTAGCATTTACTTGTCTCCTTTGGGCTCAACTGTGACTGTGTCTCAGTTTTTCCTGGGTTTCAGGACTTTGAGCAGTTTTGAGAAGACTAGGAGTATTTTATACAATATCCTCTACTTGCACTTGTGTGATGTTCTTCTCCTTATGGACTTGAGGGTTTTTCAGAGGTGAAATACCATTCTTTGGGTGACTGGAGAGATGGCACAGTGGTTAAGAGCATTGCTTGTTCTTCCTAAAGGTTCTGAGTTCAATTCCCAGCAACCACATGGTGGCTTACAACCATCTGTAATGAGGTCTGATGCCCTCTTCTGGCCTACAGGCATACACACAGAAAGAATAGTGTATACATAATAAATAAGTAAATATTAAAACAAAGAAATACCATTCTTTGTTCTTTTTAGATTTATTTATTATGTATACAGATTTCTGCATGTATGCCTGCAGGAGACAGCACCAGACCTCATTACAGATGGTTGTGAGCCATCATGTGGTTTCTGGGAATTGAACTCAGGAACTCTGGAAGTGCAGCTAGTGCTCTTAACCTCTGAGCCATCTCTCTAGCCCGAAATACCATTCTTATTACATCATTTCAGAGTGTATGTGCTAAACTCATAGAGCAAGTGATGTTACCTTGGTCACTTTACTGAAGAGTTTGAAGAAGTGGAGGATATCTGATATCAACTTCTGTCCTCCACATATCTTGCCTCCAACATGTTTAATTAAAAAAATTAATGTAACTTAATAGTGCTACAAATAACAAATAACATTGTGAGCAGTTTATAATGGGCTTACATGATTTTGTTACATAGGCAAAGCTAGCTCTGTGTTATACAATCTAGATATAAATGTGTGTGTGTATTTTATAGACACTAAAGGAAAAAGAAGGCCACTAAGTATTTTTATTTTATACCCTTGGGGGTCATTGTGAATGAGGACCTAACTCACTGCTTTTCTCATAGTTCAAGTTCAGCAGAAAGAGTGAAAGCTAATAAAGATGTAGCGTCACCACTGAAAGAACTAGGCCTACGAGTCAGCAAGTTCTTGGTGAGTATACATTAGTACGGGGTCAGTGTATGCTACGTGTGGGTGCCTGTAGCTTCATTATTAATGATGTTAGTAAAAATTCTAAGCTTCAGTAGCCATTGCTGACTTAAGACTTCTGTGCTTTAGGGTCTTGATGAAGAGCAGAGTGTACAGTTACTGCAGTGTTACCTTCAGGAGGACTACAGGGGGACTCGGGACTCACTAAAGGTTTGTGGTTCTGCCTAGCTCCCATCCACCCGTCTTCTTGGAGATTTTGGGCCCTGGCCCTTTCCAGAAGAGATTATGAGATACACAGGTGGTAGGCCAGACTCTATCTATCTATGTATCTATATCTATCTATCTATCTATCTATCTATCTATCTATCTATCTATCTATCTATCTATCTATCTGTTTTTTTCAAGAAAGGGTTTCTATGTGAAACAGTCCTTGCTGTCCTAGAACTCCCTCTTTATACCAGACTGGCCTGGAACTCACAGAGATCTGCCTGCCTCTGCCTCCTGAGTGCTGAGATTAAAGGTGTGCGCCACCACCACCCAGTTGAGGAAAGACTTGTAATGATTTATTTTTATTTTATGTGTATGGTGTTTTGCCTGCCTTCATGTCTGTGTGAGAGTGTTTAAGCCTCTGGAACTGAACTACAGACAATTGTGAGCCACCATGTGCATGCTGGGAATTGAACCAGGTCCTCTGGAAGAGCAGCCAGTGCTCTTAACCACAGAGCTGTCTCTCCAGTCCCAAGGCAAGGCTTTTATTGAAGGCTGGAAAAAGAGCCCAATCTGTGTTTAAACCGACACCTATCTTCATTCTTGCAGTGCTTGAAATGGCAAAGAATTGGATATAAATGAGAGATCTAAGAGAGCACCCAGGCTGCTAAGCTTCAATTTTATGTAGAGAGACAGACCAGAGAAGAGGGAAAGGATTTGAGCATCTGTTAGGTTAGACTTGACTTAAACATAAGGTAGAAATGTTTACAGAAATGAAATAGGTGGGTTGTCGTGAAGGGTGTGCTGCATCTTTTTCCTTGCCAGTTGAATTCTGCCTGTAAGACGGCCTCTTGACTGTTCTGTTTTCCTTCAGACTGTTCTGCAAGATGAGAGGCAGAGCCAGGCCTTAACCCTGAAGGTAAGCAGTAATTGCTGTTTCATTCTTTGGTAGACAGTTGTGTGACAGATCCCTAGACCCGTTCTTTTCTTTTTCCTTTTATCTTTCTTTTTTTTTTTTTTTCAGGCAGGGTCTTAGTCTTACTGTGTATTCCTGGTTTGCCTGGAATTCACTATGTAGGCCAGGCTGGCATAGAACTTAATTAGATTCACCTACTTCTGTCTCCTCAATACTGGATAGTAAAGGCATGTGCCAACACATCCATCTTCTTGGCTGTTTTTAGATCTTAGCTGACGCTTGTTAGCCACAGGACCCAGCTGAGTTTTTCCCAGGTTGCCTCTCCTGCTAACAACTTGTTCGTAGTGGCTATTTTCTGAGACTCAGCTAACTTGGTATTTTGGTGGGAGGGATGTGCTTGTGATTAACTTGGCTTCAAGTATGCTAGGCAAGTATTCCATCACTGAACCCCACTCTCAGACCTTTCAGATGAAATTGAGCAAGGTTAGTTTGTATTCCTGTACTCCTTACCTTTCCTACAGCCTGCTCACTGTGGGTCTGTCCTGTGGATTTGACTTCTGAAGTGGTTTCGTATTGATACTCAGTGCAACTTAAGTCCTTTAGTTGCATGTGGTTAGAGCATGGAGCCCTGGCACATTTGCTTCTTGTATTTGACCTGCCAGTTTGTAACTTTGATGTTATTTGGGCCTCTGAGAACTCATGATAGGAAATTGTTTTGGAAATAATGTTTAGATTATTAAGTCATAATAATTCCTTTTATCTTCCATGACTTATTTCTTGACTTATGACTTATTTTTTCCCCAGTGGAGGGGTGTTGTAGAATATTACTTTAACTATGTAATGATGTTATATTTGTTTATGTTGCAGAATATTACTGTAACTATGGAAAGTTGTGTTGCATTTTTTAATGCTGCATTTGTTTAATTATCTAAAGATGTGCTGCTCTTTGCCTTGCCTGCCTAAGGCACCTGATTGGTCTAATATAAAACTGAAAAGCAGTGGCTAAGCAGTAGAAGGATAGGCAGGGCTGGTGGGCAGAGAGAATAAGTAGGAGGAAGAATCTAGGCTGTAGAGAGAAAAGAGAATGAGGGAGGAGAGGGAGTTGCCCGGTTTTAGTCAGCCTTGGAAGAAGTAAGAAAGTAGGACATAGAGAAAGAAAAAGTTAAAAAGCTTCAAGGCAAAATGTAGATGAAGAGAAAAAGGTTAAATTAAGTTATAAGAACTAATGGGACAAGCATAAGATAAGGCTGAACTCACAGAGATCCGCCTGTCTCTGCCTCCCGAGTGCTGGGATTAAAGGCGTGCGCCACCACCGCCCGGCTCTG